GAGCGGCCGTTGCGCGCGCCGAATGCCGCGGCTCAGCGGCTCGCTGCATTCTTCCTCCCAGCAAGAATTGTAGTGTTGCGGGGGGGGGGGGCGGCTGCACTAGTCAGCCTTCCTAGCACTGTTTCAGGCGGTGAATCGGGGGTCACTGTGTGTGCTTGTGCACGCACGCGCACAAGGGTTCAGACTGGCATGCCCAGCTAATTAATCGGCATTTGCAGGATTGGGTTGGTGGGGGAATGCCCTGGAAAGTCCCTGCTGGTCTCACTAAATGAGACAAGGGGAATGGTCAAATTCAGCAATCCTTTACTTGCTGACTTGGGTACTTACAAGTGCACCTGTTTGAGTTGCTGGTATTAATCTATGAAGCCCAAAATGGTTTGGGACCTCAATACCTGACGAAAGCCTTCCGCACCTCCATCTGCTCGGACCCCACATCTGCATCTGGAGAGGCCCAGAAAGAGGAAAGGAGGAGGGCCTTCTCAGTGGTGGCCCCCACTTGTGGAATGATCTCTCCACTAGGGCCCATCTTTGTCCTCTTTTTGGCATTAGGTTAAAACTGCCCTCCATTCTTGGCATATGATGGGTTGTTTAGCTGTTTTATGAAATCTAGTTCTTACTGAAATTGCTTTAGATTTTTAAACTGGTTTTTACCCTTTGTATATTGGAATTTTAGACTGTTTGCAATCTGTTTATTGGAATGTATAGTGTGATTTATTGCATGTGTGTATGTTTTGCATTTTTTACATTTTGAGAAATTATTGTGAACCATCCAGAGAGATACAGCTGTGGGGCAGTATAAAAATTCCTTAGGTCGGTTTTTGCTGGGTTCGGATTTCTGGGTTTTTCAGAATCATGGGTTGTAATTGGGTGCAAACTCAGACCAGTGGATTGTTCATGCTCAGCAAGCAAAAGCAGTCAAAAAGCATCTGTTCCACTTGCTCATACTACAGTTGCATAACAGCACTGGGGATACGGGGAGGGAACAAGCAAAGGGAATGGGAACCGGGCAACCCAGGAATTGACCAGACAACTGGTGTATTGATAGAATGGGACAGTTTAGACCCAGAAAAGAAGCACTCCAAGTGACAACTTCTTCTTGCATGGCCCTGCTTGTATATACACGTCAAGCAAACTTGAATCTCTTTGGGCGGGTCCTCATGCAAGCTAAATTCTTGTACAAGAGGAAAGGGTCAAGCTTGTGGGAAGACCAAAAGTTTGTTCAAGCGCACATTTTGTTAAGACTCTAAGCCAGGGGGGAGGGGGAGGAAGCTGCCCCCCCCCCATGAGGACTATGTGGGTATGGAATGCTTGTCAGAGTGGTGGTGGGAAGGGAATTCCTGGATGGAGAGGGTGGACGCCTCCGGGGTCATTTCTGGCTGGCTGGTGCCCTGGACCTTGTGTTGCCGGCCTTTGGTGATGGGGTCTTTGTCATGGGACCTGCCCTGAATCCTGAGCTGGACCGCCGCCTGCGGGGGACACGGAGAGCCATGTCCCTTTGCCAAACCTGCCAAACCGCTTGGGCTCACTCTGCACTGATCACTGTCATCTGAGAGCAGGTTCCAGCTGGAATCCACTGAATTGGAAGAGTTTGTTCGCCGCAGTGGCTTTCGGAGCAAACGGGGGGGGGGGGGGCTGTGATCGCCACCTTCCTCTTGCATCTAACTTTCCTGTTTTGCTTTTGCTGTCCAAGTGCTGCCCAAACCTGCCGAGTCCTAGTGGATTATGGAATGATGTGCCTTCAGATTGCGCCACCAAGACGAGCTTTTTGGAACGGCAGCTTTGCCCTGTTCTCGCCCTGTGAAGTCACTAGGGAGCCCTTGAGTTCTGTGGGAGCGAAGAGGCGAAGCAGGAAAGTTGGAAACAAGATGAATGTGCGATCTGAGGGCAAAAAGAGCCTCTCAAATGTCGGCTTTGCTCGGGGGAAACATTTCAGCATGCGTCACCGCACCCTGATGCCCTAGGACTCATTGTTTCTATATAGCAAACGAGCTTAAATGGTTCGTTTTTAAATGTTTTTTTTATTCTTGTAAAATTTAAACAGACACTGTTAGTTATCCCGTTGATCTTACATTTTGTGCACTCAAAATATTCCTTTTATATCTTGCCTTGCTTGCACTGTTGCAGCCCTAGATGAAGAGTTTGCTGACTCAGCCCAATAATTCTCTCCTCCGTAGCATGCCATAAATTACTGGTGGATTAACAGTTTCTTCGTTTTTATTAGCAAATTCAGCAAAAGATTCCCACTCGAAACTGCCTTTTTTTCTAAACTAAAACACCCCAAGCTTTGCAGTCTGTTCTAGCCCCCTGATAATTTGTGTTGCCATCTCTTCGCACCTGGAAGAGCTGCATGAGGACTGGAAACCTGGAGAGGGCCTGCTTGGTGGGCTGAGAAACTGGAATGTGAATGCACAAAAAAGACAGGAGGAAATAGGTGCTGGAGAAAAAGGCTTCAAGGGAGACAGAGTTGTAGGGACAATAGTGGCTGTAGTAAAAATGTCACAAGGCCACAGAGTGGGTGAGGCTGTATATTAATATCCGGGAGAGGAAGCTGCTGTTACCAGAAGCAGAGTTGTGGCAACCTGCAGCCAAGAATAGGCTAAGGCAAAGACTCTTTCAGATCTGGGGAGAAGAGACTGAGCTCTTGGCCACAACAGAAACGGCCATGATCGCAACATTATTTATTTATTTATTTATTTATTTATTTATTTATTTATTTATTTATTTTATTAAAACATTTTTATGCCGCCCCATTCGCCGAAGCCTCGGGGCAGCTTACAACAATAAGTTAAAATAATTATAAATATATAAACATTAAAAATACAAAAATACAGTGTAAAATAAGCTGCCCTGGCCAGATAAAATCCAGTAATATTAACAGTTAAAATGCCGCTTGAATAAAAAGGTTATGGGATGTGGTCTGCTTGGTGTGGTACATCAACCAGCCATATCCTGCATTCGCCAACATGTGCTTTCCTTCTGGCATACTGGTTTTCAAAAGGATTTTCCCCAGAGCACCTAAAATGATTGGTGTTGTAACATGGTCCTGAGTAGAGGAATTGTTGGCAAAGACATCCTTGATGACCAGGAAGAAAAATAAGCCTAAATTATGATTAATGCTTCACCATTGCAGAGCACATTTTAATCGTATGCTTCAGCACATTTTACCAGAAGAAGGTATTATGAGTCTTGCTAGTCTAAATGTGGAAATGCAGATTCAGGGACCCACCCAAGGTTTTAACTGAGTCAAAGTCAGGGATATGGGACGTGTCCACTTGCTTACCTTGGCCTGAGCCAGATTACCTGCTTGTGTGAGTTGTTGTCAGCTGAATGCAAGATCAGCGTTCACTCTGGCTTATGAGTCCCTTGATTTCATTATTTACATCTTTATTTCTCTCAGTCGCTGAAACTCTGTGGTTCACAACAATTTCAAAATAAAGTGTGGTTTAAGATACGCTATAAAAACGTGCATGGTTTAAAACTGCAGTATAAGACACATCTGGAGTAACAGCAGTTTTATCTCCCTGCTGAATGATGCACCTTTCTTTTTTTTAAAAAACGTACAAGGAAAATGTGCTGTTATTTCTGAATTTAGGTGTCACAAGATCAAGAAATGCAATTTATCTAAATAGGCAACACTCCACCTCTCTTAAAGCAAGAAGGCACAATTTCTGGCTGTATCCATTATTCAAGGTGGTTGGGTAAAGCCAGAATCAAAGACGGTTTATGTCATGATTCATTCAGTGTTGCATTTCATCGCTTTGATGTGTTAAAAGAAAATGCAGAGCAAGAGAGAATTAAACCTCTAACCCCATTGCAACTGCTAGGTTTAGGTATACCTAACTCTGCCCTGTGTATGGCCAATTATTACTCCTGCTCTAATGCTGAGTTAGCCAACTGAATTGTCTTTGTCATTCCCAGAAGTACTTATTTCCCGTTTTCCTTCTGCTTCATATCTAGTAATCACTGTCCAGGTAAATGCAGTACTTCCTGTTGGGAATGGTTGTCTCCTCCCGTTTCTTCACCTGGGAGAAAATTGGATTTGGGAAATCCAACTGGAGATCCCCACCTCAGAGTCATGGGACCTATGCCTCTCTAGTAAAACATTTGCCCTGGTATGGGACAGTCTCATTCCCCCGGGGCACGTGGAATTTGGGTGGGCAAGCAGAGAAGGAATGAAGTGTGTTGGACTCACAGTTTGGGGTCACACATCACACTAGGCAACCTCATGACAAAGCATGATGCTACCAGGCAGCTTTTACACAAATGGAATGAATGAGTCAAAAACCTTCAGTGGTACCAACAGAAGTTGGTAAGGTGCCAACAGAGAGGCAACCTCTCTGATGTGTTCCAAGCTCAGTTCCCTGGCCTGCTCTCTGTCTTTTAGCCCAGGGGTCTTTGCAAGGAAGACCTCTTGCTTCCTCCGTGCAACAATAACTTTTTGTCTACTGGGACTGGTCTGCTGTGCATTCAGGGCTTGCTCTGCCTTTGCGAGGTGCTGACAAAACCTTTTCCACCCCAAGCAGCAGCCTGTGCTTGCTCCTTCTGATAAAACCCTTCACCCTTAATGTGCATTTTAAAGTTGCATCTTATTATGCATCTTATGCCTTTTATTGTCTGCTTTCCTGGCCTGCCCGAGCAGCAGCTGGCCTTGTTCATCCCATGCCTAGAAGGGAGGGGAAACGGAAGACACAGCCAAAGTTAGCAGCATGAAAAACTTATACAAGGTCAAAGCGGAGATTGCACGTGGACAGCTCACTAGAAAATGCTACTTGGCTGACAAAAGCAGAGTAGCAAATTGACCGCAGGACTTGGTACGGGGAGATGCCACCACACCCAATTATTTGCTCTGCTGGGTTTGCAAGCAAGACTGCATGCGAGAACGGCAGCAAT